GGCACCTTTCCGCTGCTTCGTTGCCCGGACTGTCGTCGCCTTGTGAATCCAGGCGATTTTCCACACTGCCTTCTCACCTCACTTTTGTAGCTCCAGGTGATAGATTCTCTCAGTGGTCCCTCTGTTACCACTGCCGATTCCCGATCATTAGGTGTCCAGAATGAACTTCGGTAATTGCGGATCCCACCGCTGCCACCAAATTTATGTTGCGAGTCTTTCCGATCGCAACCGTAAGTTCGAGATCCGCTTGGGGAACGGGACGTACTGCTTAGAGGTGTGGAATAATTGGACGCAAACCTTGACTCAAACAATTTATTTAATCACACAAACTGCCAGGACGGTGTTAGATTTTCGTGAGCCGTGTACGGACACGGGGAAACGAGTTGGTGTATTCGCGTACCGTAAACTGAATCCGTCGCGGCTTGCGCGCGACTGTATTTATACGAATCGGCAATCAAGAGTTTTGTAATATTATTGATATGTTATTGTTGATATTTCTCGGATTGCTGATTCGTGTCACCTTGAATCCGAGGTTGTTTCTCTGCAGCCTCATCGTTATTTTTTATTTGCTAAATAATTCTTTTTTAGTATTTTATTTTGGTATTTAACTTAATTAACCTTATAGCGACACGTTGTGTGTTACGACACACAACAATATGTTTTTATTTGATTATCGTACAACAGAGCATTGTACGACAGGACGAATTCCGGCTTGGATGGTATACAAACGAGAGCTAAGAACTAGATTTGATTTATTCAAACCCGACGTAAACAGATAATATAGAGAGATAGTTTTCCACCAAGAGACACAAGCGACACAAAATCACACAGTGTTCGACATAATGTTTTCCTACAACGACACAGCTTGACACAAATATACACAGCTAAAGAAGTGAGTCGAGGTGATTTGTGTTCAATTCATGACTGCCAATTATTTGATAAACTTAGGGAAATATTATTTTATGTACTATTATATTTTATGTACTATATTATTTTATGAAAATTGTGAAGTTTAAAATTTATTTTTGTAAATTATACTTACTATGCAATTAAAGCAGATGTACATATACATATGAGTAAAATTTCAAGAAAAAATTTACTATAAACTCCAACTATGGCTGTACTAAGAATTATAATGTTCCAACAAGCGGCTTTACACAAACTGTTTTGTGCCTGACACTGTGTCTATTTGTGTCTCATTGGTGGAAAATTACTAAAATAAACACATTGCTCAAATAGCTGCTCGCAAAGGACATCATAACGTTACATTTCAAATTGGCGAGGAAGTAATGCTTGATGATTTTAGCGTACGAAATAAACAACGCCGACAAGGAAAAATAATAAAACAATTATCGCCTTTTGAGATCGAAATTTCTTCTAATTGTACTTGGAAGCGACATGTAGATCAAATAATCAAATTTAGCGGAAACGATAAAATAAAAAATGTAAGCGATAAAGAAAACATTGTAACCGAAAAACAACCGAGTTTGCGTCGCTCTGCGAGACTAAATGTGAAAATAAACAAGTCGTAAAAGGTAGGAAATTGTGATGTATTGATAAGTAAGTCAGCTGAGTTATCGATGCTACGGTATTCTAAATATCGCGATAATTCGGCAATCGTTGTAAGAGTCAGTCATCACTGAGCCGTCACAGGGTATTGATTTCATAGTAAACACTCCTATGTTCGTGTATGTGATAGTATAATAAAAGTTATTTAGTACAACGTAAACCAATGTGTATTAGTTAATAGGCTAATACATAACAGTTTCTTTTACACGAATTGATTTGTTTCATTATTCTGCGCATAAAAATATTACGGTAAGATTATCGATAACAAATAATTATAAGAGATTTTAGATTTTATATCAAAATATGTCATCTCTCTCTCTCCCCCCCTCCTCTCTCTCTCTTCTTCTTTCT